TTGTCGTTGGCGTTTAGGCGTGGGGCCAGAGTTGGTCCGACGTGGAATGGGTCGGCGATTTGAAAAATTGCCGCAAACCCTAGAGGGAGAGGCCGGAAGCATAGTCAGAGGAGAAACGAAGGTCCGATAAATCGAAGGAGTCAGTCGAGGCCTCAGTACCTGAAATGGGTGAGGAAACAGCACCGGCAATAGGTACAGAGGCATGAGGAATGTCTGAAGAGTGGTCCAAAGACGAGGCTGGGGTTCAGAACGGGGTGCGGTATCAAGAAGGGGCCCCGGGGTACCAGGTTCAGGACTAGGGCGCCATGGTTAGGTTACTTCTTTCTTTTTGTTTTTTAAGGGAAAAAAAAAAAAAAAGAAGAAAAGAAAATAAAAATAAAAAAAAAGAAAAAAAAAAGGGGGGACTGGGGAGGGATAGGTCCTAGGAGGAATGAAAGGGCCAGAAATCTCCCTCCGGCGCCCAAGAGGACCTCAGCACCGCAAGTAGCGCGAATGCGCATGGAAAACCCCTGCCTACCCCACCCATCATGCTAGTAAACTAACAATCCGGGATAGCAACCTCACACTGCCGAGCTACCTCGGTGGGGCAAAAGAGAGGGCGGCCGGATTCCCCCACAAAGCAACCTCCTTCGGGGCCCCCACCCCCGGAATCCGAAAGGTGGCCCTTTCCGAGATACACTCGTCGCCCGAAAGACACCCAAAGCTACTCCGGGGTACCGGAGAGGGATCGGGACATCCAAAGGGGATCCAGATTCCACGGCAAACTATGCACCGCTAAGAACCTCAACGGAATGGGATGGACCCCGATATCCTTTCTCTTACCTAGGAACTAGCGCGCCTGTGGGAGAAATCCCAAAGGACAAAAAGAGGAAGGGCAAAAGGGAGGGGTGGGGAGGAGGAGGAGGAAAGGAAAAAGGGGAGGATGTGAGGGGAGGGGGGGGAGAATGGGGGGTAATTAGGTTCGGTCTGAGGAAGAAGACCGATAGGTCTAATTCCTCAGACCAAGAGCCTCTTCACCACTGTGAGCAGGGTAATATTTTGTGAAGGGACTCAGGGAAACCAGTTAGCCGGACTGGAGTCCTGGAGGTCGGAGGTAGAGTGCCTGCACTTTAACCCTTAAGCTGTCCAAATATGTTGGGGAAAAAAAAATTAAGAAGGCAGTTTTCTGTATGTAATAAGACCAAAAAAAATTTTATGGTTAGTACTTGCCGAAATATAAGGTCACAAAGTTGGTGCTGGATGCTCACCTGACCCCAATATGGCGTCCTGCCACTTGCAGAAGTGTTGCCGATATACCTTTTTTTCTCGTTTTTATTTTAATTTATATAATTTTTATGTTCTGGTAATTACAATTTATAGAGGTACTTGTTATTTGTAAAGCCAATCTTTGTTCTGACACTAATATTAGGCACTGAAATACTGTAGTAATCAAATAATCACACACTCACAGGTGAACATTTTTACCTGTCTTGGTCACATACTATTGTCTAGAAATATATACAAAGTATTAATAGGTCCCAGCAATGTTTTAGACATGCTGTAGTTTGTGAAAGTCCTAAAGGACAGTGTAAAACGAGTGTCACTCCACTGCTGACAGTGTAGCAGTGGAGTGACACTTGATGATCATGCACTGCTCCAGTGAACCTTGGCTTTATTTGTTTTCACTGTTACACATAAACATGTCCTGTGTCTGTCTGCCTGTGTGTGTGTGCCTTTGTGTCTGCCTCTGTGTGTGTCTTTGTGTCTGCCTGTGTGTGTCTGTCCTTTGTGTCTGCCTCTGTGTGTTTCTGTCTTTGTAATAATGTTGGTAGAATTACCAACAATATGTTAAGTAAAAATACACAAGTGCAACTAATGTGACATTTTATTGTGGCAACGTTTTGCTCTCCAGGAGCTTTATCAAGCCATTACAAACAATACATGGACACAGAGAGTATATATAGGCTTAGAGTGAGGTGTAATACTAGTAGTAGTAATAGTAATATAAGCTGTAATAGTAGTAGTAATACAATATGGTAGAACAATCAACTTGCACGTGAGTAAAAGGTCAAAAAACTATTACTTGGGTAGCATAAAAGTAGGTTAGACAAATATTTCTGTTGGTGATTGGATCTGAGAAGGTCTGTTTCAGTGTTCCTTCTCTGTTGTGTTCTTGTGTAACAGACTATGTGATGGCAGGGTTTACTGTTTTGAGGAGGATTTTTCCTAATACTTCAAAAATGATGAAGCTTCCCTTATTTTGCTTGTGTTAGAAACGGCGATTAATGATGATTCAAGGCATTTACGTCTGCTTGTCTCTGTCTTTGTGTCTGCCTGTGTGTGTGTGTGTGTGTGTGTGTGTTGTGTGTGTGTGTGTGTGTGTGTGTGTGTGTGTGTGTGTGTGTGTGTGTGTGTGTGTCTGTCTGTCTGTGTCTGTGTGTGTCTGTGTGTGTCTGTGTGTGTCTGTGTGTGTGTGTGTTGGTGTTGTGTGTGTGTGTCTGTGTGTGTGTGTGTGTGTGTCTGTGTGTGTGTGTGTGTGTGTGTGTGTGTGTGTGTGTGTGTGTGTGTGTGTGTGTGTGTCTGTGTGTGTGTGTCTGTGTGTGTGTGTCTGTGTGTGTGTGTGTCTGTGTGTCTGTGTGTGTGTGTCTGTGTGTGTGTGTCTGTGTGTGTGTGTGTGTGTGTGTGTGTGTGTGTGTGTGTGTGTGTGTGTGTGTGTGTGTGTGTGTGTGTGTGTGTGTGTGTGGTGTTCTGTTATGTGTCTTTTCTTTGTGTGTCGTTGTTTATGTGTTTTTTCTTTGTGTCTGTCTGTCTTTTTATGTGTCTTTTCTTTGGTTGTCTGTTGTTTATGTGTCTTTTCTTTGTTTCTGTCTGTTGTTTATGTGTCTTTTCTTTGTGTCTGCCTCTGTGTGGTCGTGTTGATTGTGTATCTGTTTTTGTGTCTGCCTGTGTATCTCTGTCTTTATGTTGCCCATTTCTCTGTTTTTGTTCTGCCTGTTGTTCGTATTTCTCTCTCCCTTGCATCTGTCTTTTTTTCTTCTTGTTTTTCAGAGAGCCGTCATAAAATCAACGGGTTTACACATGATGCAGAGTTGTACGCCCGTTTCCTGATAAAGTAAAAAATGATATTCCCCAGTCATGCTTATATGCCTTGTCCCTATAAGCAATATAGCACTTTGTTTGCATATTTTGGGTTTTCCTAGGTAAATTTCCTATGTATGATAACTGTACTTGTGTGTACCCGTGAGCAGAGATGATACAGCAGGGGACAGCCAAAAATCAAGCTGTAATCACCCCCCCAGCCCGCCAGCCAGCCCGCCAGCCGCCAGCCAGCAGCCAGCCCCCCCAAGCCAGCCCGCCAGCCGCCAGCCAGCCCGCCAGCCAGCCAGCCACCCGCCAGCCAGCCAGCCAGCAGCCGCCAGCCGCCAGCCCGCCCCCCAGGGCCCGCCCGCCGGCCAGGCCAGCCCGCCAGCCAGCCAGCCAGCCAGCCCGCCAGCCGCCAGCCAGCCAGCAGCCGCCAGCCAGCCGCCAGGGCCGCCGCCACCAGCCAGCCGCCAGCCCGCCAGCCAGCAGCCGCCAGCCAGCCAGCCCGCCAGCCCGCCAGCCCGCCAGCCAGCCACCAGCCAGCCAGCCAGCCCGCCAGCCAGCCAGCCAGCCCCCCAGCCAGCAGCCAGCCCGCCAGCCAGCCAGCCAGCCAAGCCAGCCGCCAGCCAGCCCGCCCGCCAGCCCGCCAGCCAGCCAGCCGCCACCCGCAGCCAGCCAGCCAGCCCGCCAGCCAGCCGCCAGACCCCGCCCGCCAGCCAGCCAGCCAGCCAGCCAGCAGCCCAGCCAGCCGCCAGCCAGCCAGCCCGCCAGCCAGCCCAGCCCGCCAGCCAGCCAGCCCGCCCGCCCAGCCAGCCAGCAGCCAGCCAGCAAGCCAGCAGCCCAGCCAGCAGCCGCCAGCCAGCCAGCCGCAGCCAGCCAGCCGCCGCCGCCAGCCAGCACAGCCAGCCAGCCAGCCAGCCACAGCCAGCCAGCCAGCCAGCCAGCCAGCCCGCCAGCCAGCCCGCCAGCCCGCCAGCCAGCCAGCCAGCCCGCCCGCAGCCCGCAGCCAGCCAGCCGCCAGCCCGCCCGCCGCCCGCCAGCCAGCCAAGCAGCCAGCCAGCCAGCAAGCCCGCCAGCCAGCCCAAACCAGCCAGCCCGCCAGCCAGCAGCCAGCCGCCAGCCAGCCCGCCAGCCCGCCCGAGCCAGCCAGCCAGCCAGCCAGCCCGCCAGCCCGCCAGCCCCCAGCCAGCCAGCAGCCAGACCCCGCCAGCCAGGGCCCAGCCAGCCAAGCCCAAACCCCAGCCAGCGCCAGCCAGCCAGCCCGCCAGGGCCAGCCAGCCAGCCAGCCAGCCAGCCAGCCAGCCAGCCAGGCCAGCCCGGGGCCCTCCAACCAGCCAGCCCGCCCGCCAGCCAACCTGTGAAAAAATTTACACATGTACCAAAACGTTTCTCTTTACTTAGGGTTTTAGGGCATTTGGGAGGGTGGGGCCTACCAGTGGTTAAAAAACTGAAAGAATGTGGAACAAATATTGCACATGGGTTATCAAGGGTTTTGATATTTCCTAAACCACCTATGGCCACATCCATCTCAAAGCCACTAAACTCTGGGTCACCATCACTTTCCTCTTAAAACGGGAGTGTCAATATAACATGGCATGGCATCAGTGAATCATTGGTGTTTGCTATGCTGTTTGCTCTAGCTGGCACTCAATTGAACTGGTGCTCCCACAAGGTACTAAGTGGTCCCATATTTTTTTAATACTGCACACACAGTGTTAAGACCCATTCTATAATGACCAGGCATCTTAAGCCAGTCATGCCAAATTTTAAGGCAGGAAAAATAAAACACTGATCTATACTCCCATATCTGGGTGCCTCTGCAAAGCCTGATTATGTGTGAATGATGGTAAAAGTATTGAATGATGGTGAAAGTATTTCTTTTGTTGGTTCATCCTGTCTCAGTGGGGGATGGCTGACGTGTTAAAACAAAAGAACAAAAAAAAAAACAGTATATATACTTTACATAGAAATATACATAACAGCAACATAAACTGATATCATGATGAATAAACAGTGAATCAGCAACATCAATGCTGATCTGATATCTGAATTAATGTATGCTGTGAGAGTTTCAGCCATAATCAACAGAAACTAGTTCTCAACCTCTCAATAAAAATACTGGTATAGTTTCTCTCATCATCTCCGTGCAACTTGATATTTATAGTTTCAAACCTGTCAATCATTTAGCATCAAAGCACAGCTTAAAAAAATCCACATGCAAGTTATTTTATATAAAAAGTATGTAACTACATGTACTTGGTTAGAGTGCCTTAGAAGCATCACACTGGGATACACATGAATATATCTCTGGTGTCTGATATTGTAATTCCAAACCTAACCTAGTACAAAAATAAATATCTTATGGACTAAAGTTCACTAAAATTCAGTCTCTTTTTTTTTTTTTTTTTTTTTACAAGGCATTACATTACTACATCATCTGCCTTCATTAATTTCCTATAGTACAATACAGTAGTAAGTAAAAGTATTGGTAGTCTTGTGCACTTTCAAAGAAAATTGGTTTAGCCATTTTTAAAATTTAATAATCCATTACAGAATTATATACCGTCTATAATAATAAGGCATAATATTCAGAACTTTTCATTTGCAGGGGCATTAGTTTAACTTTACATTAATTTACAATATTCACTACAAATCAATGTTTTCTGCTACTAAGCTAATCTGTGCATATACTGTACTGTAGCTATTTATAAATAGGCATAAACTATATCTCAAAAGTAAATTTTAACTACTTGGTATTTAACACAATTTTTTAGTCAACTGTTGTCCCATATCTCTTCATTTGACACTCTGCATTATAATACAGCCTCTCCTCACTTAACGAAGGAGTTCTGTTCCTAAGACCACGTCATTAAACCAATTCGCCGCTAAATGAGGAGCATACTATAATGGTAGTGAATTTGTGTCAACCATCTTTGATATTGTTTTAATGTCACCTTTGCACCATTTATAACATTTCTGGTATATTTTTGAATGTTTATACAGTAGTGTACTGTATACTGAAATACAGAATAGAGGAAATCAGCTCTAATATACATATTTAGGTATAAATACTGGTCAGAGAGCCCGTCGTAAGTCCGAGGCATCAGTAAACACGTACGTCGTTAAGTGAGGAGAGGCAGTACCAGGACTTTTTTTTTTATATATGAAAGGCACATGCAGGGCATCAGACTAAGCAAGACACAGTGATACCTCTCATATCCGAACTATAGGCCAGAGACCAGTTCAGAAACGCGGAGTTTCCGGATATGTGAGGGGGAAAAAATTGATCATCCGTACCTTGTCATATCGCCATCGGCGACATCGTTGTAGGTTTAAAAAACAAGTCCAATGTTGTCTGGCGGTGGGACTAAACACTGGGCTCGAATAACAGCCTCCTGGATTTCACAGACCACAGGACCATAATTTTTCAAATGGGCTGTGGACAGTGGATGCTCCACATACTCCAAAAGTGTTTCAACACCCGCCCATGCTGCTGAGGTTTTTGGTCTTGGAGGCACTGGGTCATTGTCGTCATTGTCACTTTTGGAATGTTCCAGGTGAATGATTCTGCAATCTCTGCATCTGTCAGAGATTGCACACCAAGGTCATCTTCGTCACACTCTAGCCAGTCCTGCACGTCATCATCTGTAGTTTTATTTCCCAGCCTTGGACCAGTCTGCATCCATGTGCGACAATATTTCCCTCTTTTATTCTGGAGTAAGCACAGTCCTGGCCCTCTTTGGTGCCATACACAGGATAGCTAGGACAAAACACACCTGTAATAATGCTAAAAGGAAGGCGAAGAGCGCGGCTCCTAGTGGCCAACCAGTACAATAAAGTGTGTGCAAAGTTCAGCTTTCTGCCATATCTGAATGGCTGTTCGGATGTACCGGTAATAATTTTAGAATTTTGCCCTTTCCCAGGGCCTGTTCGAATATTGGCGAGGTTTATATAATGGCAGGCCGGATATGCGAGGTATCACTGTAAATTACATTTTATATCACCAATTAATTTTCAACCTTCTGGCAAAAAAATACATATACAGCATGTATATAAATATGAAATGCAGAATTAACCCCTTGACAGTCGAAACCCCAAATCCTGAGGTCCCTCCCCTGGTGTCGAAAATTTTTGAAAAAAAAAAAAAAAAAAATTCTTGTGAAACGAGAGAGAATCTTTTCCCGGTGGTAATGACACCAAAAAGAACGAAATTTGATGGAAAACTTACGGAATTACACTCTTGCGAAGTTAGCGACCCTGGTGATACTTACGAATCAGCGATTTCTCCCACTTTGAGCCCTATTTTCGGCGAATTCCATTGTTCCAGTCGACCAAACTCATACCTATTTCTTTAGAACTCCATTTGTTCTATCAATTGAGTACAAGAAACTGCCCATTTACCAATTTGAACTACCCAATAATGTGGTCAGAAATCTGCAATTTGGCCAATTTCATGCAAATTAAAAAATATGCCAATTTCAAAAGAGGGTCCAGAATGAACAATGCAGACATTCCTGGCTCTAAAATAACATTTTCTTTGTTCATCAATCACGTCTCCAGGCCCTTCTGATATTACTCTTGCTTTCTATTTTGAATTTTTATTCAAACAAAAAATAGAAGATTTACTGTTATGCAGACTACTGCAATATTGTAATAATTGTATAAATAATGTAAACCTATTCATGACTGCATATTAGAATGGCTAGTTGGACATTTATTAGACAATGACATCATTTGTTTACTTTTGAACATCGGCAAAAATTAAACATTTCCCCTACTTTGAGCTCCATTTCAAAGTTTTTTCATAGTAAAACCAATCAAAATCACCTCTATTTCTATAATATGTTTTCCATTCTATCAAATGACAACCATAAATACTATACGAAAATACACCACAAAGTCGGCGTTTTAATCCAAAAAAAACAGTTGTAGGTTTTTTTTCTCATTATGCACTGCATGCTGCAGGATTTTTTTTATATGGTGCACAATGACCACACAGACCCAGTCTCTCACATGTGGGCCTACCAGCTTTCTCCTGTTTGATTTAAAGTCGCTAGAATTTTTGAGTATATATACGTCAAACACGGTGGCCCATAAGACGTATATATACGACCGAAATAGTCAAAGGGTTAAAAAAAGTTATTAAACAGTAAAGAATAAAATAGCATATGAATGTACAGTAGTCAACTTGGAAGGTTACAAAATTAAAAGCTCACATAACTGAGCAACTCTGCTGAACATACGTATATGGGAAGTTTTATGGAGGAAATGACTAGTATTAAAATATAATTTGCATTACTCTACACTTGTATGCTGCAGCTTGAAAATAATAAGGAAAATAATTTTAAGAGTACTATATGTGAACTTAAAGAATATAAATTATCACATTTTTAGGCAAGGTTTACATTAATGTATACACCTACCATCCGACTTACGACCGAGTTCGGTTCCGAGAAACCGGTCGTAAGTCGAAATGGTCGTAAGTCGAACTTTACTACTGAATATCAACAAAACATTTTTGTAATGACTATTTTATTGTTTTATTTTGGTATTTCATGTTTTACTTTACTTTTTATGTTGCTAGTACTGTATTTTATACTGTAAGGTTTAGGATAAACACTGTGTACAACACAAATAGTTGTTTATTTCCCAGAAATTTGGCATAAAAAACACGGTCGTAAGTCAGAGTGGTCGTAAGTCGAGCAGGTTGTAAGTCGGATGGTAGGTGTATTTAGAAAATCTAAGATCTGAGCTCACTAGATGGCTTAACAATGAGAATCACATTCAAGAATACAAAGCCCAACCTTGGGACTGGCCAAACAAAATTAGGCTCATCAGAAAAAACTTATGCAAAGAAAACCATCTAAGAGGCAATTAAATAATATATGATTAAATAAGAGATTCTCTGGATTATCCTGTTTCATTAGATACAAGTTTATTGATAAAATATAAAGTGAACAAGAAAACTTGAAAATTCTAATGCCCAGCAAGAACAAATTCTGAATTCTTAATTAAAATCATTCCTGCTGCAGTCGTGCCTCTCTCCATCCCATTAAACTGGGAAATGAGGAAATGGTGGTTTTGAATGATAAAGTATAGCTTTTACAAGTGCACCATCTCTTAACAAGAATTTCAGTATCTTATTAGCACAATATTGTATTTATTTTAATGCAAGGGAAGCGCCTAACCCATAGGGGTCATACTGCGCCAGGGGAATGGGAAGCATTCAGGTTCAATTTAAGGAAGGAGAGGATAAGTAGAGTTCCTTGGACCAAGAGCCCCTGACCAATATCAAGGCACCTACCTCCCTTGAGGGGAATCTTTTTAGTAAATAAAAAATATACAGCATATTTACTACGTAAAAACGTAGAAGTAATACAAAATAGTGATCCCCACAAATTCAAGGCATCCTAATTCACTAATTTCACGAAAAAATGATGCCCATTTTCTTTCAGCTATGGACAACATACTGAATTTCTCATTCCCACATCTCTCTTTGAGGATATTCTCATGAGTGCCAATATTAACTAGATGACATTATTGAGAGATATTGCCTCTAACAAAAAATGAGTCCATTTGCAGTTCCTGGATTCTGAAACCATTAGGAATATAATCCCCTTACAGATTTGAAGGGAGCACTATATATATTATCAAATCAGTGACCTACCAGTTATCATATGACTTCTTAATACAAACAAAAAAATGCTTGTTACACACTTTTGAGACCTAATATAACACTTGGATCAACACTTTTCTAACTATTTTTCCCCCACAACACTATGATACAGTAGTACATAATATATTTTATAAGTTCTGTATGTACTACATAGTTGAGTAATCTAACTGTACATATAACTGTGTCACACCTACAGAATTAAGAATTGCACGACTTTGCTGAACAACGTATCGAGGATCAGCAGCAGCTGAAACTTCTAACTTTAAATTTCCTACAAATTGACCAGTGCACAGCGTCCAAAAACGTGGCTCCTGAACACTAAAAACTCCTGGTAGAGCACTTATTTTATAGTAACATCCAGATAATACGCTATCCAACTCTCTGGGCTGTCGCTGCATCAAAATTTCCACAGAATTTTTTAGAAGATCAAGTACACTAACTAGAATGAGGACAGCAATAAACAAGGAGCAAATAGGGTCTGCAATCAACCAGCCAAAGAAATACATAAGGACTGAAGACACTATAACACCCACTGATCCCAGAGTATCAGCCAAGATGTGAAGATAGACTCCCTTCATGATATGAGAGCCTCCACTGCCCCCATGTGAGTGACCATGTTGTGCACCTCCATGTGAGTGACCATGCTGTGCATGTCCATTATGTGAATGACCATGACCATGGTCACCATGTGAATGTCCATGAGATCCTCCACCATGGCTGTGGCCATGTCCACCGTGTTGGAATGCAAATATGCCAATAATATTGACAAAGAAGCCAAGAACAGACACAACAAATAATCGCTCGTGTTTCACTTCAGGAGGTTCAATTAAACGTTCAACAGACTCTGCAAAGATGAAAAATGACACAAATAATAACAGGAGCCCATTTATAAATCCCCCAAGAATCTCAGCCCTAACATATCCATAGGTAAATTTATCATTGGCTCTCCATTTGGTTATAACCTTGGCTGCCAGACCTACCATCAACCCAGAACAGTCAAAAAACATATGGAAGGCATCAGATATAAGACCAAGACTATTTGTAAATATTCCATAAAAGAGTTCAACAAAGCCAAAAGTTAAATTTAACAAAAGAAAGAGAAATAGATTGCGAGAGTCAGAGTCTGAAAGAATTAGTCTAACTACACTGCTGAGTAAATCCTTTATTTTAGTCCTGCTAACCGGAGCAATTACCTTGGTGTCCTCCACATCAATAGTAATAGGCAACATTGTGCCAGTTTTGGGTACTCACACTAGTACACTTTGTTTTCTGGGTTCAAAACTAATAATAATCTTCATTTGTTGTAAATCTGCTACACTGTCACATCCATTCCAAGTTTATTATGCTGTATAATCACAGATATTAGCCACCACTATTGGTCAAAATGCACATAAACACAAAATATATTCTCACTCTGGCACATTTCAGGTACAGTACAACACAACCTAATTTGAGGCTGTACAATATTTCGAGCAACTTGGAGGTTTGTCTTGTCAATACATGTAGTAAGATGTTCCTTAAAAGTAGTTTACCAACTACTCTCCTTCATACTAGATGAGTTAACACACTGAAAAAGAAGTAGGAATAAAATTTAAAATTTGACTGATATTAATGACCACTAGAAACTAAAAGGTGTTCGGTTTGAAAATAATAAACCGGAAGGCTAACTGTTCAATCATCTACTAAATACAAACGTGCACAAGTATCTAGATACAGTTCTTCCATAATCATCTAATTTTAGAGTTTCAGTAAACACATTAAGCACAAAAGTAAGACAGGGAAATAAAATAAAAACATTTGGCTATTTTCCTGACATCATGATTTTTACATGGTTCTTTTTCACAAGCAGAAAGCATTTAAATGGATTTGCCATTTTAGGAGGAAAGTAGAATTTTTTTTTTTTTTTATAAACAAACCACCATATCTTTGGAAACATGCCATTATCATTATGCAGTACTGTATTTCTTTTTCTGGTTAGAAAGCATGACTACAGGTTAAAATAAAAACTGAACAAATAGTGTATTGTACACTATTCTAGAGTATAATTTTTTATGAACTCTAGTATAAAAATGTATTATACCCCAGAACTGAAATGCAGTACAGTACTACCAAAATAAATATACAGTGGACCCCCGCATAACGATCACCTCCGAATGCGGCCAATTATGTAAGCGTATTTATGTAAGTGCGTTTGTAAGTGTATGTTTGGGGGTCTGAAATGGACTAATCTACTTCACAATATTCCTTATGGGAACAAATTCGGTCAGTACTGGCACCTGAACACACTTCTGGAGTGAAAAAATATAGTTAACCGGGGGTCCACTGTACATACATTCCATGGTGCCATGAGTACCTGTTCAAGGGCCTGGAAAATTAATGCCATAGATGAGGCTTCTTGACTGATGGCTTTATCAATCAGGTTATAGGTACTAACTGCAGAGATTCCAACTTAAGAACCCCAACTTGGCTGATCATGAATTGCTGGTAGGAGTTTATCAAGTTCCCGCTAAAGATGGTTTGGGATTTATGGCTAATAATCATTTTATCTGATGGGAGGGTATTAGGAAGTCTTAGGTCCTTTTGCATTATCTGTTAAGCTTCCTGATCTAGCAAGGCATAATTTAAGTGTGCATATCTGGAGCCCTCTAGTATTTTTCCAGGTACAGTATATATCATGGTGTATCTTTCTCATTCTACATTCTATGGAATGTAGCTTGAGAACTTCAGTGTTTGCAATAATACAGGAGTTTGACTGAATGGGCACTATCAGTAAAAATTCTCTACCTTCTCTACATCTGCAATTTCTCCCACTCTAAAGTGGGCTGTTAGTCTAAAAAGCACCAATGAGCTGTGGGCCCACCTCATACCCGAGACCATCTCAAAGCTGTAACACCTCACTTCCAGTTCCAGAATACAGAACATACAAGTCTGGCCACATGCCTCTGCTTTAAGCTAAGAGACTGACCATCTTCCAAGGCTGAGGGACAGATTACCTCAGACCAGCTCTCAAGGACTGTAATTCAACTTTATAGCTGACCGACGAAACCTGCTTACTAGGTGAAATATTTCATCAATAAAGATACCTAAGTGTTGCAAGTGTTTAATCGTTTTATCAGTAACAAATAAAATTTATAATATAGTTCATTTTTTGTTCAGGGGCTCAAGTTTTTAATTACTGTATGTAAATTCTCCAATATTACACGAGTTACGCAATAAGGAGTTATGCTTTGGGCCTATAGGGAGAAATATTATTTTTTTTTGTAACCCAAAATTACTTGATGTTTGAGAATTTATATACGTAATAGGTCATCACAAAACTCAAAACTAAGACCTGAATCTCAATATTAACCAGAATAACATTTGTATTTTTATAAAACAAGAAATAGTTAGGGATATGGGTATTTGCGGGAATTGTAGATGAATGGTTCATAGAACCGACACGTTGATAAATTAGACACATGCAACTCTGGGTATCTTTATTGAGGAAACGTTTCGCCACACAGTGGCTTCATCAGTCCATACAAAGGAGAATCGTGAAGAACAGGAGTAGTTTGAAGTACAGTGGACCCCCGGTTCGCGATGTCATCAGTATCCGATAAATCCGGTATCCGAAGCATTATATTGCAAAAAATTTGCCTCGGTTCCCGTTACAAAACCCGGTACGCGATATGATTCGTATGAGACGTGTCCACATGTGGCCTGAACTGCCCCGTGTGTGCCAGTGTTTACAAGCCAGCCAGTGTGCGCGCATCTAAGGATACATTCGGTACATTCCATATTATCCATATTATCACTGTTTTTGGTGCTTGTTTCTGCAAAATAAGTCACCATGGGCCCCAAGAAAGCTTCTAGTGCCAACCCATCGAGACCAAGGGTGCTAATGACTATTGAAATGAAGAAAGAGATAACTGCAAAGTATGAAGGTGGAGTGCGTGTGTCGGACCTGGCCAAGTTGTATAGTAAATCCCAATCAACCATCTCTACTATAGTGAGCAGGAAAACGGCAATCAAGGAAGCTGTTCTTGCAAAAGGTGCAACTGTGATTACAAAACAGCGGTCGCAAGTGTTAGAAAATGTTGAGAGGCTGTTATTGGTGTGGACAACTGAAAAACAGATAGCAGAAGATAGCATCTCTCAAGCGATCACTTGTGAAAAGGCTACGCAGTTGCATGAGGATTTAATTAGAAAAATGCCTGCAACTAGTGGTGATGCGAGTGAATTTAAGGCCAGCAAAGGTTGGTTTAAAAGATTTAAGAATCGTAGTGGCATACATAGTGTGATTAGGCATGGTGAGGCTGCCAGATCTTCATTAAAGGTAAGTATCAATTATTTTATTGTGATTATTCTATTGTTATTATTGTTATTGTAATTATTCTATTGCATTAAACTTAATATTTCATGTGGTAAAAGTTTTTTTTTTCATACTTTTGGGTGTCTTGCACGGATTAATTTGATTTCCATTATTTCTTATGGGGAAAATTGATTCGCTTTCCGATAATTTTGCTTTACGATGAGCTCTCAGGAACGGATTAATAACATGAACCGGGGGTCCACTGTAATCAGTCCCTCAGCCTTGAGTCGATGTGATCAGTCCAGTCTTGAAAAGACTACAGCATATGTGTGAAGAAGTGGCTTATATACTGTAGGCAAATGGAGAGGTGCAGCAGTCGCAGGAGGTATCACATTTCCCAATGTGGAAGCAGGTCGTGCCAAGGGTTAGGCAAGTGAAAAATTCCCAAGTATTAAGATCTCAAGAAGTTGCAGTGTCAGACAGGATTGTAGATGAATGGTTCAGAGAACCGACACATTGATAAATTAGACACGTGCAACTCTTGGGTATCTTTAATGAGGAAACCCTTGGGCACGACCTACTTCCACAGTGGGAAAATGTGATACATTCTACAACTGCTGCACCTCTCCATCTGCCCACAGTATATAAGCCACTTCTTCGCACATATGCTGTATTCTTTTCAAGACTGATGGACTGATCACATTGACTCGAGGCTGAGGGACTGATTACCTCGAACTACTCCTGTTCTTCACGATTCTCCTTTGTATGGACTGATGAAGCCACTGTGGAACGTTTCCTCAATAAAGATACCCAAGAGTTGCACATGTGTGTAATTTATCATTTGTGGGAATAGAATGGGATATGGTATAGGTATTCCTCACTCAACGACCGAGTTCCATTCTTAAGAGTAGGTCAGTAAGTGAACTGGTCATCAAGTGATGAGCTGCCCCTTACTGATATTTCAAGCATACTGTATTGTTAGTGGGTTTCATCAACCATCTTTAGATATTGTTTTAATGTTGCATTGGCACCTTTTATAATACTTTTAGTATACAGTGGACCCCCGCATAACGATGGCATCACATAGCGATTATTTCGCATACCGCTTACTTTAATTGCAAAAATTTTGCCTCATATACCGCTTAAAAACCCGCTTACCGATTTTCGTCCGAGACGCGTCCAATGTGCGGCCTGAGCCACGCTCACATGTTCCGCCGGTGGCATTGTTTACCAGCCAGCCTCCGCGGTAACATCCAAGCATACAATCGGAATATTTCGTATTATTACAGTGTTTTCGGTGCTTTTCTGGAAAATAAGTGACCATGGGCCCCAAGAAAGCTTCTAGTGCAACCCTACAGCAATAAGGGTGAGAATTACAATAGAGATGAAGAAAAAGATCATTGATAAGTATGAAAGTGGAGTGCATGTCTCCGAGCTGGCCAGGTTGTATAATAAACCCCAATCAACCATCGCTACTATTGGTGGTACAGCTGCTGCTGCTGCTGCACTGTCAGCTGCTGCTGCTGCTGCACTGTCAGCTGCTGCTGCTGCTGTAGCACCGTTGTTGGTGTGGCTTATTGAGAATACCAAGAAACAATTAACCCCAGAGGATTTGCCACCCAGGATAACCCAAAAAAGTCAGTGTCATCGAAGACTCTCTAACTTATTTCCATTGGGGTCCTTAATCTTGTCTCCCAGGATGCAACCCACACAAGTCGACTAACACCCAGGTGAACAGGGAAAAATGCCTGGAAACTAGTGCTCATATTGGTGAATTTAAAGCCAGCAAAGGTTGGTTTGAGAGATTTAAGAATCGTAGTGGCATACACAGTGTGATAAGGCCTGTTCTGGAAGAAAATGCCAAACAGGACCTACAGTACTCAGGAGGAAAAGGCACTCCCAGGACACAGTGTCTCATCAGTCATTGCTGCATCTTCAATAAAGGTAAGTGTCATTTATTCTTCATTTAGTAGACTAGTACATGCACAATATATATTGTGCATGTACTACTCTACTATTGTGCATGTATCCTTCTCTTTGTGTGTGGGAAAATGTATATTTCATGTGGTAAAATTTTTTTTTTCATACTTTTGGGTGTCTTGCATGGATTAATTTGATTTCCATTATTTCTTATGGGGAAAATTCATTCACATAGTGATTATTTCGCATAACAATTACCCCTCTTGCACGGATTAAAATCGTTAACCGGGGGTCCACTGTATTAATAATAGTAGGCATTAAAAAATATAAAAAAATAAAATACACACATAGTACACTGGTGGAAGAGCTGGTCATAAGCCCAAGCGCTCATTAAACAGGTAGGTTGTTAAGTGTGATTTGTCAGGGTTGTGATACTGGGGATGGCAGTTGTACATAGAATGAGGTTGGATTATCACCTAACATCAGTAGTGGCAATTCAGTGGTGACTGAAGTAATGGAGATAATGGAGAGGCGGGGATGAGCAGGGAGAGGAGAGAGGAAGGGTAGCCAAGCATTTATTACACAAATAGTCACAGCACTAGAAACAAGCTGGACGAGTTGAGATTAGCTGCATGTGTGGGACATGATGCTTATGTAATAACCGAGACAAAGTTTAATTTGAAGTCGGAACATGCCTGCTGAGTGCCACATTCAAGGGGTTTAAGTTGTTCCACAATGATAGAAATAATGGGAAGGGGTGAGGTCTCACTACATGTCAAAAAAAAAAAAATAGAATTGCTGCATAAAAACTGGTTTAAAGGCAGATGGAACACATACACAGTCTTTGTGTTAAGTTTCTGATTTTAGGTGTGATATACTGACCCCTGAACGTAGAGACTAAGGGACACATCTTCGGGAACTAAATGTTAAGGTTTCAAGCCATGAAAATGTAATAATTCTTGGGGATTTTAGCTTACATAAAAGTGGCTGGGAATATAGGGTCAAATGACTTCCTAGAGGTTGGATAATCCAGGATTGCTTTATAAAACAGTTTTTGACAGAACCAATGAAGGGAAATAAAAAGCTTAATTTGGTTTTGGTTAACAAGGAGACTCCTATTAATTATCTGAGGGTTAGAGAGAAGCTTGGCACTGAATGGAAGTATGATAGTAAGGATGCTACAGTAAGGGTCTCAGATTTTTGTTCTGCAGATTACAATGGGCATATAAACATGTGTCAAGTGATGACTTGGGTAACAGTGAGAACTACCTCGATGATTCCAGGTGGTGGTGACAGCCCGTCCAGGAACTAAGTTGCTTCACTTCCTGAAAGTCAAAGGACTACTTTTCCGACACAACTATACGGTTAATTGGGTATTCCTGTCCCAGGAAGCGCCTTGTTATCATGCCCAAGCGAGAGAACAAGAAAAGGAGCAGCCCAGTTCACTTAGGAGCTGGACATAAAGTCTAGCCCAGCAGCACTACTGATGATGTACACAAACTAGACTCAGTCATTTTAACATCCCGTATCTTGATTCTATACTAGCGGAGTCAAATTAAGCAATTTTTAAAATTGTAATATACCTATAAATTATTTAACAATTTACTTTAATCTGAGCTGTCAAACACAAAATTGTTCTACAGGCATTTTTATTAAAATAAAAGCAAGGGCCCTCAAAGGAAATAAGTCACTTTGACTTTTTTGGTTTATCCTAGGTAATTTACACACATGCTGCTATGTATGATAATTTATGTAACTATTTATCTATTCCTGTACCTGAATAAACTTATTAAGGGTTCTCTCCAAGGATATCAGCAACCGTAGGAAGTTTAACAGATCAAAATTCTCAAACATCTTTAATGAATACATATTTATTCTTTTTTTTTTTTAACTTTGAAAACCTTGTCACAAGCTAATTTTTTTCTCTTCCCATCGTTTTTGCTTCATTTCAGCCATCAATATTCTTCCCTCCAACATCTGCCCTACTACAATAATAAATCTATGTAGTATACTTTAACACTGTATTCTAAATATCATACAAGCCACCCAAAGAATATATACAGTTTCAAAAAAAGATTCAATGAGAATAATATGAAGTGGATGAACAGGAGACAAATATATCTTTTACAGAAGAACAGAAATTTATGGGCATATCAATATAGGAGAGGGTCACCTTATGAACCAATATATTCAGTAGTAAAAAAGAGGTTAAAGAAGAATAAGAAGACCTACACAAGACCATGAAATTAAAGTTACAAAAGACAAATCCAAATATTTTTTCCAAGTACAGCATAAAACAAAGATTAGAGAAAAGTCAAGTCTACTTAAACCTAACTTTGAACAATTACTGGTAATGAGAAAGAAATATGCTTGATTATTAACAGTTATTTCCTTTCTGTCTTTACACAGACACAAATGATATTAAAATAATTATTATAGTGGATCTGAGGGAAATAAATTAGGTAATATCACAGTCACTACTAATATGGCTATTAAACAGGTTGACCAATTAAAGAATAGCAAGTCACCAAGTCCCAATGAATATTTTTGAATGGTTCCTAAACAGGACAAAATGAAACTTGGTGAAACACACTAACCTTTTTTAATACTATATTACTCCAAACAGGTGTAATGCTGGAGAATGGGAAGACTGCTAATGTACACCAGAAGAGTTACGAGAGATATGGGGACATCTACGCGAGAACAAATAGGAAGCGCGTCTGTCTAATGCTCAGCAGATGGAGGATGAACCCTCCACCATGTCTTGTGCTGAATGACCCACATGGTTTAGTACAGTGGTACCTAGAGTTACGAACTTAATCTGTTCCAGGAGGCTGTTCGAGTGCCGATACCAAACGAATTTGTTCCCATAAGGAATAATGTAAATTTGATTAGTCCATTTCAGACCCCCAAAAATACACTTACAAAAGTACCTACAAAAATACACTTACACAACTGTTAGAGTTGGGAGCTGTTCAAAACTCAAGGTACCACTGTACTTGACATGAATTATTTAATTTAGTGCAATGCAATTCCTATATTTAAATCAGGGGATAAGTCTCTGCCACCAAATTTTCATCCAATAGAGAGATTAAGAGCCCTGACCCTATGCTCCTGAAAGATGTAGAATGAGGAAAGATACTGAAGTACAGTATATCAGTGGAAGACAGGCATAAAAACAATATATATAAAGTACTAAGGATATCCAGTAAAGAGGGAACTCGAAATAATGGATTTAAACAGGAAAAATTTTGAATTAGAAAGGATGTAGGAAAGTATTGGTTTGGGAATAGAGCTGTCAGTGAGTGAACAATCTGCTAAGTAGGGTTATTGAAGCTAAATCCTTAGGAGCTTTAAAAATAGTTTAGACAAATATATAAGAGTAAAAAGGATTGGATTTAAGTACAACCTGCCTAGAATCAGTTATTAGTTTTACTGAAGCGAATTCATTGGGTAGCTCTTAGGTTAAATGTGCATAGTGTACTTTTTGTGTTATCAGGATCATTGTAAAAAATAATTTATGGTATGTACCGAAGGCCTAAATATTGACTTATTCGTTCACAAAACTCCAGCTGGTTCAGCCAGCCCAGTGTAGCATAGCGTGTATAAGGTCAAGGATGCAGCAGTGTTCATGCACGCTATCACTCAGTCTTCACTCAGTGCTAGATATTATGCGGCCCTCACAACAGCGACTACTGAACCTTAACTTGAAAACATTGGGATAAAAAGAGTTAAATGACCTACCTCGACTATTCCAGCTGGTGGTGACAGCCCGTCCAGGAACTTGTTAAACTAGGTCGCTTTACTTCCTGTGAGTCAAAGGACTACTTTCCCGACACAACTATACGGTTAACTGAGTATTCCTGTCTCTTGAAGCGCCTTGGTATCATGCCCAAGCGAGAGAACAAGAAAAAAAGCAGCCCAAGTTCACTCAGCAGCCGGACGTACAGTGTCACTCAGCGTACTTCCCCAGCGGCACTACTGATGATGTACACAAACTCGTCTCGGTCATTTCAACATCCCATACTATGATTCAATACTAACAGCGTCAAGTTAAGCAATTTTTAAAACTGTAATATATCTATAAAATTATTTAACATTTTTCTGTAATTCGAGCTGTCAAAAACAAAATTGTTGTACAGGCGTTATCAACAAAATAAAAGAAAGGGTCCCAAATGAAATAATGCGCTTTGTTAGACCTTTTTTGGGTTTTCCTTGGTTATCTGAACATATGCTGCTGTGTATGATAATTTATGTAACTGTTTTTATGTGTACCTGTACCTGAATAAACTTACTTACTAAGGGTTCTCTCCAAGGATATCAGCGACCCCGGGAAGTTTGACAGATCAGAGTTCTTGAAGATCTTTGATGAATACGTATTTATTCGATTTTTTAACATTGAAAACCTTACCATCGTTTTTGCTTCGTTTCAACTATCAATATTCTTCCCTTCGACATCTGTCCTACTATAATAATCAACCAATGTAGTATACTTCAGCACTGTATTCTTAAATTCGCACCCTACCTTAAGCTTCCACCTGCTCATCACTTTCACATTTGCTAACATTTCTTCCAGCGTTTGCTCATATTAACCATTCTGTTCCTTAACTCATTCACTTTCACTCATTTTTTTTTACTAACCGTAGAATTATCACTACGCCACTTTCCTCTTATTTTAAATCTACCTACCAATAATATGATAATGATTACTCTATTTCAGTTCTTTCGTGAAGTCACGATAATTTATACAATAGGTACCAGCTTATATCACTCGCTTATCACTAACACTGTTCCTAGGACCCCAGTGGAAATAAGTCACTTCGACTTTTTTGCTTTTTTTTCTGGGTAATTTACACATGTTACTATTTATGATAATTATACTTATGTGTGTCTGTACGTAAATAAACTTGATGAAGAAGAAGAACTATGTTTACTGTGACTATAAATTAATATATAGGTGGCATGTTGCAGGTGTTCTCTAGTAACTTGCCAGCTGCTCAGTGTGTGTGAGTGTTGGTCACGCGACGATTGATATGCTCAAGTAAATTCTTCTCTTTTAGTAACTCTCGGCAGCTTGTATCAATTCGTCTGTGCTAGAATTTAACCAAATGTTATGTACTTCGGTATACCGCCATGACTCTAACTTATGAGCACCCAGGGACTGTGAGCCAGTTAGTCAAGGAGTAAGTCAGGGAGTTAGTAAGTCAGTGAACTATTAGGTCAGTGGGTGAATCATCACGAACCCTTTTACAACACGTCTTGTCTCAGGTTTTATATATCAATGACAAAATCAGATGTCTTAACGGCACCTTGTGCAAAATGCAAAGTCAGGACAGGATGGCAGGGAAACATCCAGTGGAACAGGAGCAAGACATACATCTAATAGATCTAATAAGCATGTCTTAACAGATAGCATGACAGACCAGTACACTTACCCAGCAGCAGACAGATGAAGTAAGACACTACCTCAGAGAATGTAGAGCATCAAGCTTCAGGTGAAGTGAAACCGCGGCAACAAAGTAAGGTGGACTGGTGGGCACAATGATTGAACCCTTTCCTGTAATAGCGTCGTTCATTTATCCTCAGTTAAACTCATCCTAGCTGTATGCCTATACTCATGATTTGTAAGATGCAATAGAATAAATTGTTTTATATGTAAAACATTTGAATCGATTATTTAAACCTAGATAAACATCACTCAGTCGATGACTGATAACTTTACAAATTAACTTTATCTTATCTAACTGGTTGGACCAGCATAAGAAATGGATGGTTTGTAACATGCCGTCAAATAATTTCTGATGTGGACAATATGAAGGTACAGATTTTTTTTTTCACACAAATCAGTTTTACAGGCTAAGAGCTTTTATTCTACCTCAGCTCATTTCAAAGCCCCAGTCCTATGACCTGGATAGGTTGATGTGGTCGAAGTGGCAGATGCAATTCAACGAAAACTAAGGTTCTAACCCTAGAAGGAAATAATTATGGCACTTATAGGCTAAACAATATAAATTTTAGACAAAGTGAATGCGAAAAAGATCTAGCTCTGGCTACCAGAAATTTAAAACCATGACAAAAGTACATAAATGTCCCTGGTTTGATTGGCATGTTTCCTTAGTTTTAGTTTAATATGTTTATTATGCACCCCATACCCATCCTGTGGGCGGTAGTCAAAAGATTACAGAGGTACATAATGGGTCCAGGGACTGGGCCTCAAAGTTTTGATAGCTGAGCAAGTTACAGAGGTAATGAATTCACAATTTACAAAGGTAATGAACTCACAATTTACAAAGGTAATGAACTCCAGGTAGGTCTAGTCACAATCATGACAAGTTACAAAGGTATTTACAGATTACAGAGGTACACAATGGGTCCAGGGACCGGGCTCCAAAGTTTTGATGGCTGAACTAGGTACAAGGTAATGAACTCACAAGTTACAAAGGTAATGAATACTGTAAGAATGGTTACTTACGTTTATACATGGCTGCAATCAATCATGTTGAAGTTACATATGCTTCCCCCTGTTCACCTAGGAGTAAGTAGATACCTGGGTGTTAGTCGAGTGCTGTGGGCTTCGCAATCATTACTGATTCTATGTCATCACTGAAGGCTCTTGACTCATATAATGACTAACAACATGCTCATTGGACAGGGACAAAAGAATTAATGTACAATTGCTATGGATCCCATTACACATTGGATTACTCCTTCATGATAAAGTTTATATGTTAGCCAAGAAGAGTACTCAGAAGGAGAATGTAAAATATAACTTAGGTATATCTGTGTCTAGCATTAGGAATAATATTAGGAGAGAAGTAAACAATGAAAATGATTGTTATAGGAATCCAGTTAGAAGCCCGAGTAGATCTATAACCCACTATGATAACATGAATGTAGATAAGTATGTTTATGAAGCAACTTGCAGTGTCAACAGACTGACTGTTGTAGTGGCCAGGCTTAGGCTTGGTTACAAGTACTTCTGGCAGTTTGGGAGACACACAGATGATGATCAAACTAAATGTAAATTATGTGATCAGGCATATAGTCACTGTCTTGAACACTATGTGCTTAATTGTCCACTTATTGAGGAATACAGAGACAGACAGTATAATAACCCATGTGACATTTCAAGATATCTTATTAATGAAAATAAGATACTAGATATACTAAACAAATTTCCTAAATTTGCTTGTAACAGATAAGTGAACTATAGATATATAGATATAAATCAATATGTATTCCTGTTAACCCTTTGGGGCCTAGTTCCTAGGCCTTTTGTGTATCCATATGCGATTGATACAATGTTACCTGGAGTTTACCTGGAGAGAGTTTCGGGGGTCAATGCCCCCGCGGCCCGGTCTGTGACCAGGCCTCCTGGTGGATCAGCGCCTGATCAACCAGGCTGTTGCTGCTGGCTGCACGCAAACCAACGTACGAGCCACAGCCCGGCTGATCAGGAACTGACTTTAGGTGCTTGTCCAGTGCCAGCTTGAAGACTGCCAGGGGTCTGTTGGTAATCCCCCTTATGTGTGCTGGGAGGCAGTTGAACAGTCTCGGGCCCCTGACACTTATTGTATGGTCTCTTAACGTGCTAGTGACACCCCTGCTTTTCATTGGGGGGATGGTGCATCGTCTGCCAAGTCTTTTGCTTTCGTAGTGAGTGATTTTCGTGTGCAAGTTCGGTACTAGTCCCTCTAGGATTTTCCAGGTGTATATAATCATGTATCTCTCCCTCCTGCGTTCCAGGGAATACAGGTTTAGAAACCTCAAGCGCTCCCAGTAATTGAGGTGTTTTATCTCCGTTATGCGCGCCGTGAAAGTTCTCTGTACATTTTCTAGGTCGGCAATTTCACCTGCCTTGAAAGGTGCTGTTAGAGTGCAGCAATATTCCAGCCTAGATAGAACAAGTGACCTGAAGAGTGTCATCATGGGCTTGGCCTCCCTAGTTTTGAAGGTTCTCATTATCCATCCTGTCATTTTTCTAGCAGATGCGATTGATACAATGTTATGGTCCTTGAAGGTGAGATCCTCCGACATAATCACTCCCAGGTCTTTGACGTTGGTGTTTCGCTCTATTTTGTGGCCAGAATTTGTTTTGTACTCTGATGAAGATTTAATTTCCTCATGTTTACCATATCTGAGTAATTGAAATTTCTCATCGTTGAACTTCATATTGTTTTCTGCAGCCCACTGAAAGATTTGGTTGATGTCCGCCTGGAGCCTTGCAGTGTCTGCAATGGAAGACACTGTCATGCAGATTCGGGTGTCATCTGCAAAGGAAGACACGGTGCTGTGGCTGACATCCTTGTCTATGTCGGATATGAGGATGAGGAACAAGATGAGAGCTAGTACTGTGCCTTGTGGAACAGAGCTTTTCACCGTAGCTGCCTCGGACTTTACTCTGTTGACGACTACTCTCTGTGTTCTGTTAGTGAGGAAATTATAGATCCATTGACCGACTTTTCCTGTTATTCCTTTAGCGCGCATTTTGTGCGCTATTACGCCATGGTCACACTTGTCGAAGGCTTTTGCAAAGTCTGTATATATTACATCTGCATTCTTTTTGTCTTCTAGTGCATTTAGGACCTTGTCGTAGTGATCCAGTAGTTGAGACAGACAGGAGCGACCTGTTCTAAACCCATGTTGCCTGGGTTGTGTAACTGATGGGTTTCTAGATGGGTGGTGATCTTGCTTCTTAGGACCCTTTCAAAGATTTTTATGATATGGGATGTTAGTGCTATTGGTCTGTAGTTCTTTGCTGTTGCTTTACTGCCCCCTTTGTGGAGTGGGGCTATGTCTGTTGTTTTTAGTAACTGAGGGACGACCCCCGTGTCCATGCTCCCTCTCCATAGGATGGAAAAGGCTCGTGATAGGGGCTTCTTGCAGTTCTTGATGAACACAGAGTTCCATGAGTCTGGCCCTGGGGCAGAGTGCATGGGCATGTCATTTATCGCCTGTTCGAAGTCATTTGGCGTCAGGATAACATCGGATAGGCTTGTGTTAATCAAATTTTGTGGCTCTCTCATAAAAAATTCATTTTGATCTTCGACTCTCAGTCTGGTTAGCGGCTTGCTAAAAACTGAGTCATATTGGGACTTGAGTAGCTCACTCATTTCCTTGCTGTCATCTGTGTAGGACCCATCTTGTTTAAGTAGGGGCCCAATACTGGGCGTTGTTCTCGATTTTGATTTGGCATAGGAGAAGAAATACTTTGGGTTTCTTTCGATTTCATTTATAGCTTTTAGTTCTTCCCGCGATTCCTGACTCCTAAAGGATTCTTTTAGCTTAAGTTCGATGCTTGCTATTTCTCTGACCAGTGTCTCCCTGCGCATTTCAGATATATTGACCTCTTTTAGCCGCTCTGTTATTCTTTTTCCGTCGCCTGTAAAGGGAGCGCCTGTCTCTTTCTATTTTAACATCTACTCCTCCTTTTCTTAGAGGAATAAGCCTTGTGCATACATCGAGTGCCACCGAGTTAACTGTTCTAGGCATAAGTTTGGGTCTGTGTTGCTTAGTATATCTTCCCAGCTTATATCGGTTAGGACTTGGTTTACTATGTACTATGTTTTTGTTATTGAAGTTGAATTTGGTGAATGCTCCCTCGTGACTAGTCTCATTTTGTCGGTCTGGGGCTCCTCGCATACATGTCTGAACCTCAATTATGTTGTGATCTGAGTATATTGTTTTTGATATGGTGACATTTCTTATCAGATCATCATTGTTAGTGAATATGAGGTCTAGTGTTATTCTCCAGTCTAGTAGGCTCTATATTTGCTGGTTTAAATTGAATTTTGTGCAGAGATTTAAAAAGCTCGTGTGAGTGTGAGTTTTCATCAGAGCTGCCTCCTGGTGTTATTACTGCAACAATATTATTTGCTATATTCCTCCATTTTAGGTGCCTTAAGTTGAAATCCCCCAGGAGCAAGATGTTGGGTGCAGGAGCTGGAAGATTTTCCAGACAGTGGTCAATTTTTAACAGCTGTTCCTGGAATTGCTGGGATGTTGCATCCGGAGGCTTGTAGACTACCACAATGACTAGGTTTTGGTTCTCGACCTTTACTGCTAAAACTTCCACTACGTCATTTGAGGCATTAAGCAGTTCTGTGCAAACAAGTGACTCTGCAATGTACAGGCCAACCCCCCCCCCTTTTGCCTGTTCACTCTGTCACATCTATATAGGTTGTAACCTGGGATCCATATTTCATTGTCCAAGTGATCCTTTATGTGGGTCTCAGTGAAAGCCGCGAACATTGCCTTTGCCTCTGCAAGCAGTCCACGGATGAAAGGTATTTTGTTGTTTGTTGCTGGCTTTAGACCCTGTATATTTGCAAAGAAGAATATTATCGGACTGGTGGTATTGTTGGTACTGGGGGGGGATTTTTTTTCCGGCATTAGTATCTGTATCTGTTGGTTTGGAG